GCAGCGCGGCCACGCGGCTGGCAAAGGTGTCTGGGGACAGGGGGGACATGGGGGACATTGGGGGCATTGGGAGCTTTGGGGACATTGGGGACACTCAGGACATTGGGGACGACAAAGACAATGACCGAGTCCTTGAGGCCCTGGGGACCCTGTCCCCGTTCCCATCCCCCAATGTCCCCATGGTGTTCCCAATGTCCCCAATGTCCCCAATGTCCCTCACCAGGGATGGATGTCCCCAAGGCCACGAACACCACGGCGTTGACCGAGTCCTTGAGGCCCAGGGTCCCTGTCCCCATTCCCATCCCCCAATGTCCCCAATGTCCCCAATGTCCCCAATGTCCCTGTGATGTCCCCAATGTCCCCATTGCCCCATCCCCCAATGTCCCCAGTGTCCCCATGGTGTCCCCAGTGTCCCCAATGTCCCTCACCAGGGATAGATGTCCCCAAGGCCACAAACACCACGGCGTTGACCGAGTCCTTGAGGCCCTGGGGACCCTGTCCCCGTTCCCATCCCCCAATGTCCCCAATGTCCCTCACCAGGGATGGACGTCCCCAATGTCCCCAATGTCCCCATGGTGTCCCCGATGTCCCCAATGTCCCTCACCAGGGATGGACGTCCCCAAGGCCACGAACACCACGGCGTTGACCGAGTCCTTGAGGCCCAGGGTCCCTGTCCCCATCCCCCACTGTCCCCATGTCCCCAATGTCCCCATTGCCCCATCCCCCAATGTCCCCAATGTCCCCATGGTGTCCCCAATGTCCCTCACCAGGGATAGATGTCCCCAAGGCCACGAACACCACGGCGTTGACCGAGTCCTTGAGGCCCAGGGTCCCTGTCCCCATTGCCCCCATGGTGTCCCCGATGTCCCCATGTCCCCAATGTCCCTCACCAGGGATAGATGTCCCATTGTCCCCATGGTGTCCCCAATGTCCCTCACCAGGGATGGATGTCCCCAGGGCCACGAACACCACAGCATTGACCGAGTCCTTGAGGCCCAGGGTCCCTGTCCCCGTTCCCATCCCCCAATGTCCCCAATGTCCCCATGGTGTCCCCAATGTCCCTGTGATGTCCCCAATGTCTCCATGTCCCCATGTCCCTGTGATGTCCCCATGTCCCCATGGTGTCCCCAATGTCCCCATGTCCCTCACCAGGGATAGATGTCCCCAAGGCCACGAACACCACGGCGTTGACCGAGTCCTTGAGGCCCAGGGTCCCTGTCCCCGTTCCCATCCCCCAATGTCCCTGTGATGTCCCCAATGTCCCCATGGTGTCCCCAATGTCCCCAATGTCCCTCACCAGGGATGGATGTCCCCAGTGCCACGAACACCACGGCGTTGACCGAGTCCTTGAGGCCSAGGGTGCAGCCGAAGTGCGCGGCCAGGTCGCCGATGAGCGCCGTCAGCAGCGCGAGGAGGAGGATGGAGACGCCGAAGGCCGCCCATCCCCCCAGCAGCGCCGTGGGGGGCACGCAGGCGAACAGAACCTTCCAGAACACCGTCAGGAAGTGCATGACGTAATCGAAACACGACGGCAGCNGTCAGCACTTTGGGGGCGCGGGGTCCCCCCAGCTCGCCCCCGATGGGCGCCCGGCGGCGGTAGAGCAGCACCCCGATGGCGAGGAAGGCGAAGATGGTGAAGAGSGTGACGGGGAAGGCCAGGGTGCCCGGGGGCACGCGGAACGGCCGGCCCTGCGCCGCCCAGTACACCGCGGCCACCGACCACGCCAGCCCCAGCCCCAGGAAGACGTTGACGGCGTTGGAGCCCGTGACGTTCCCGATGGACGCGTCCGCACACGGGTCCTGCAGCGCGGCCACGCGGCTGGCGAAGGTGTCTGGGGACATTGGGACATGGGGACAGTGAGGGGACATTGGGGACAGCGGGGACATGGGGACAGTGAGGGGACAGCAGGGACATGGGGGACATTGGGGACATTGGGGACATTGGGGACAGCGCGGCCACGCGGCTGGCGAACGTGTCTGGGGACATTGGGGACAGTGAGGGGACATTGGGGACAGTGGGGACATTGGGGACAGCACGGCCACGCGGCTGGCAAAGGTGTCTGGGGACATTGGGGACAGTGAGGGGACAGTGGGGACATTGGGGACAGCGTGGCCACGCGGCTGGCGAAGGTGTCTGGGGACAGAGGGGGTGTTGGGGGTGTTGGGAGCATTGGGGATGTTGGGGACAATGGGGACACTCAGGACGTTGGGGACAACAAAGACAATGGTATTGATGGAGCCCTTGAGGCCTGGGGACCCTGCCCCTGGTCCCATTCCCCAATGTCCCCAATGTCCCTGTGATGTCCCCAATGTCCCCATTGCCCCATCTCCCAATGTCCCCAATGTCCCCATGGTGTCCCCAATGTCCCCAATGTCCCTCACCAGGGATAGATGTCCCCAGTGCCACGAACACCACGGCGTTGACCGAGTCCTTGAGGCCCAGGGTCCCTGTCCCCGTTCCCATCCCCCAATGTCCCCAATGTCCCCATGGTGTCCCCAATGTCCCCAATGTCCCTCACCAGGGATGGATGTCCCCAGTGCCACGAACACCACGGCGTTGACCGAGTCCTTGAGGCCSAGGGTGCAGCCGAAGTGCGCGGCCAGGTCGCCGATGAGCGCCGTCAGCAGCGCGAGGAGGAGGATGGAGACGCCGAAGGCCGCCCATCCCCCCAGCAGCGCCGTGGGGGGCACGCAGGCGAACAGAACCTTCCAGAACACCGTCAGGAAGTGCATGACGTAATCGAAACACGACGGCAGCCGCTCCTCGCGGCCCTCGTCATCGTCGTCCTCGTCACCTGCGGGGGGACAGCGGGGGTGGTGGCATCGGGAGTGTTCCCGAGGGGCTGGGGGTACCCAGGAGTGTCCCCAAAGGGTGACATCAGGGGGGTGGTGGCACCAGGAGTGTTTCCAAGGGGTGGCATTGGGGGGTGGTGGCACCGGGAGTGTCCCCAAGGGGCTGGGGGTACCCAGGAGTGTCCCCAAAGGGTGACATTGGGGGGTGGTGGCACCAGGAGTGTCCCCAAGGGTGACATCAGGGGGTGGTGGCACCAGGAGTGTCCCCAAGGGGTGACATTGGTGGGGTTGGTGGCACCAGGAGTGTCCCCGAGGTGCTGGGGGTCTCCAGGGTGGTGGCCCCAAGTTGAGGGTGGCA